GAGGTAGTGTGGACCAAACTGAACAAAAAAGTTTTCTACCATTTTGCGATCTTCGCAATAGTTATCGAGATACTAATCATTAAAAAAAAATTTACGCCAAGTATGTACAAGTATCGTACATTAGGTACATTAGGTATCTTATCTAAACCAAAAATATTATTTTAACAAATAAAAGTTGTCCAAAAACAAATATAAGATCATACAAATTGCCAAGTATTTGATTAGACATAGAGAATAGAGACAAAAATATTTTATTCCAAACTATTGTGAAAATCGCAAAATGGTAGAGGACTTTTTTGTTCAGTTTGGTCCATACTACCTCCCCACAAGCGCTGTATCATTGAGTACGAGACACCTTGTATGTATATATATATATATATACACATATATATATATATATAAACATATCTATTTATTTAAGATGAAATTTATACATGTCACATATATATATCTTGTGTATTTGTGTAACTTTTTGTCTGTCGCTGTATATACATATATATATATATATATATATATATATATATATCTATTTATTTAAGATGAAATTTATACATGTCATTTGAATACACAAATTTTTGTTTTTATTTACAATATATACATATATGTATATACTGTAAATTAATAAAGATAAACATTTGTACATATGCAATGACATAGATTTCACCTTGAATAAATTAAATACTTTTTAAAGAAAGTATCAACAAAATTTCCTCTTTGTACTTACTTTGAGAAAATTAAAATCTGTCACGGTATACTTCTTAAATCTGGGTAAATTTGTCGCTGGTGGCGTTATCCGACCACTCGGAAAATGATCCGAAGAATCTGAGTTCCGTTGATTATCTGACGACTGTGAAGGAGCTAGAGGGAAGAGATTAATAATAATCAGCAAATCGACTATTCTTATAAGTAACTGAAATAAAAGCAAAATTAAATACATGTTCGTTAGAATACAAGCACATATATTTTCTCCGATTCATGCAATTTGCTGAATAGACAAAAATAATTTGATTTTAACTTCTTGGTGCAACGAACGTGAAAATACAGATATATACTAAAAATAGATAAATGTACCTATGAGCGATATACGCGCATGTATACGTATGTACGCGTGCATGAGAATGTGTTATATAATATCTATAAAATATCAAGTGAGCGTCGAGAAAATTTCTTATAATTATATTTTATGATTTTACATTATTTGTTTTGGTAAATATACCGATGAAGGGAGGCTGCTCCAATGATCTCGCCCTTTATATATGTTGTCAAGGGCATGACCCCAAGTAACCTTCAGGTGGTTTTAGCCATCGCTCGTTATTCATTAAAAA